CCCACGCACACACACGAGTCTCTGCACTATCAAGATCCCTATCAAGTCTTGTCCCGCGCCGCACTCTCGCGGGAGCAGGTCTCTAATCCACTGGCACTTGACTCGACAGTGCGTGTGCTACATCCTTTTTACAATCTCTAGATTAGAAAACACTGCATTCTGTCAGCAATGTAACGCGGCAGTAACGTATAGAGACCTCGGTTGGCTTGTAACTACACTCTAATTACTATTTAGAAAATTATGACGCGTTAAATTAGGCTACTCCGTTACTAAAAAGTAATCAAATTACAGTAACGCGTTACTAAGTAATGCGTTACTGCCCAACACTGCTCCCATTATTACACTTCTTTTTACATTATGGTTTGCCCCAAGAACACATTATTATGCAAATTAGATGCAATGTATAGATACATTGTATAGAATGGGAACACCAATTTATGGACATTTGTACGCACATATTCCATAAAGTACAGTAGTATATCAAATCATTCTGTATTTTGTAAATCAAATCATTGTATTCTATATATTTTTCTTAACATAGCTGAGAATCATCTTTGTACAAAGTTAGGCAAAAAATTGCCTGAAATCTAAAAACTGATTGGTAAATGAAAAATAAAACATTGTATATGCCTATACATGCCTTTTGCATGTCTATTTATTTATTTATTGAATAACTTAGTGCTGGGGTTTTCAACCTTTCAGGACATGCGATATATTCAAATATTTTTACTGTATAGTTTGGGAGAAAATTAATGACAAGTTCACCCCAAGTATCTATGTGCACCTTTGCACTTTTTACATCACGTCCCATTTTCAAACGCTCATAAAATTCTTTCCTTTATAGGTTTGCTCATTCTTTCGTTGATTTCTGTTGCAGTGACCCTGGCTATTACTGTATTAATTTTCCTTTACGGTTTCTGGGAAACGCAAACTCATTCCAAAACTGTTTTTCTAGAGTGTATTGTTGCACTCATGTCCCATTTTCTAACATAAAGTTTCCGTTTTTGAAAGAATTATTGTGCAAACGTACCATACTTATTACCATATGAAACTGACTCTTATTTTATATATAGTATTGGACAAAATTGCTGGGAAATACTCTCCTCAAGTCATACAGTCACGTTACACTCAGGCAAGAAGGAGCCAAGGAGATGCAGGAGAATAGTTTCAAACATGGAATTTAATTTGCACACACGGGGCACTTCGGAGACACAGCAACACGACGTTTAACAGCAGACGAAGAAACACTGAATGGGACTCACTATAAATACACAGACACCAATGGGAGCAAATTAACTAATTAAACAAACACAGCTCGAAACAAATTCATACAAAGAGGACAGGAACAGGAAGGACCAAACAAGGGCAAACAGGAACACACACGTGACACATACACTCAACCTCTTCTTACATTTGAATTGTTAGTGTCACGTTTAATTAAGTTAAAATCTTCATTTTAACCTTAGGAACTGATTATGTTCATCACCCCTTTGAGCAGTCCTTATTTGTGCCCATGGTTACTAATTTCTAACCTTTAGTTAAATTTCTTATGTCTTTGCTTTTATAGCCCTGAGGTTGTTGTATTTGTTTATGGTGATTATGCCTGCAAAGCTATTATTTGTTTTGCTGTGTTTGTTTACCATAATCATCAGTCTATTGAATAAGTCTGCTTAGCTGCAATTTCTTGTTTCTCCTTACCTGTAACTGATCAATTACAATTGTATTGAGATGAATTTTAAAATGATCTATCTAAATTAAAATCCAGATACAACAAGACACTGATCAAGTAAGGACAGTTGACAACACAAAGAACAAATTATATAGTATCAGTGCCGTTGTTTGAAAATGATCACACTTTTATTTTTTTTTTACTTAACTTTATTTTATCATATTTTATGTACTTTTATAAATATTATACATTTTATAGAAATACATACAATTTATATTTATTATACATTTATTTATTTTGCCTTTCTTATTTCTGAAAACAACTTTGTGCATCTTAAGAAATAACTGCACTTTGGGCATGCTGTTGTACATCCCATCAGACTGCACAACAGTGCCTACTGTGGCTTCAACACCTGTGAACATTTATTGACTCTCTTCTGCACACTGATGCATACACCTAAAATCATCTTCCCATATTAGGCTTTTGTTTAATTGCATAAAAAATTACATATTTGCATTTGTATCTGTGAAATGTCATAACACAGGTTACATAATCCCTATCACAATTTATTTCTGTATTTTAGTCTTAATAAAACTCTTGTTTAAATTCCATTAGGTTGTATTGCAGTCAATCAATTTATAGCCTACTGTTATTTTAAGGTGTCATTGAGTCTTGAAAGGTGCCTAATAAAATGCATTATTATTATTATCATTAAATTATTATAGGAGTAAGCTGCAGCAGAGGCAGTGGCAGAATGACACCAAGGAGTTCTGCAGAGGCATGAGGACTATAATTAGTTACAAGCTTTCTGTACAAAAAAATAAATAAATAAAAGAAAGGAAAGGAAAGGAAACCTCAACCATTTTTTCCCCATCAAAACATGAACATGACTGTTTTCTACAATTCACACTGAAATAATAATAGACTAATAATAATAATAGCAAATAATAATATTTGACAAATAATATTTGTTATATAATACTTACTATGTGTTTTTGAACTCAAAAGATAAGGTATATGTTCCAAATTAGTGCATTTAACAGGATGCAAGAGCTAAATTAGTTTAGCCAGGTCGTATTTTAAATGTCATGAAATAGAACTTTCCAGACTTATTTTTGTGCTCTTAATTACTTATTAATTATTATTTGAAAATTACAATTTAAAATTAATTTTCAAAATTGAAAGAACGAGCAAACCCACAAAGGAAAGATTGTTATGGGTGTTTTAAAATGGGTAATGGTGCAACTGGTAGAATGCCCTTCGTTTTTTGAAGTGATTTTGCCATTAATTTTATTCAAAACCATACAGTCAAAACAATTTTAAATTATTACAGCAATAGTCAGGGTGACTGTAAACAGGAATCAATTAAAAGAACGAGCAAACCTCTAAAGAAAATATTTTTATGAGGGTTTGAAATGAAACGTGATGCAAAAGTGCTTATGCATTTAGATGCTTGGGGTGAATTTGCCTTTAATTTTCTCCAAAACTATACAGTAAAAATATATGAAAATTAACACAGTAATAGACAGGATCACTGAATGATCACTGAAATACAGTAATAGTCAGGGTCACTGTGAACAGGAATCAATTGAAAGAATGAGCAAACCTATAAAGGAAAGATTTTTATGAGTGTTTGAATATAGGACATATTGTAAAAGTGCTTATGCACTTAGACACTTGGGGTGAATTTCCCTTTAATTTTCTCCAAAACTATACAGTAAAAATATTTGAATATTAATACAGTGATAGTCTGGGTCACTCTGAATACATATGAATTAAAAGAATGAGCTAACCTATAAAGGAACACTTTTTATGAGTGTTGGAAAATGGGACACACTGCAAGTGCAAGGACACATTTTGTTGTTTGGGGCGATTTTGCTTTTAGTTTTCTCCAAAACTATACCGTAAAATGACTTGAAAATGAATATAGTGTTAGTCAGGGTCACTCTGAATACATATCAATTGAAAGAATGAGCTAACCTATAAATGAAGCTGAGTATTGTATGCGTTTATCTCTCTCCAAGCAATAGCTACGCTATTGACCATGTCATTGAATAAAGCCTTGCAAGTGGATCCGCTCGCCTCACGTCTCTGTCACCCTGTTACAGCAACGATGGAGTTTGATGTTTGGGGTGATTTTGCTTTAAGTTTTCTCCAAAACTATACAGTAAAATGCCTTGAAAATAAATACAGTGATAGTCACACACACACACACACACACACACACACACACACACACACATTAAATAAAAAACAATGAATAAAAACATTAATATTACATTTATAAACATTAAATGTTGGCTGGCTTGACCGTGTATTTTCAAAGCGCGGCAGGCTTGACCGCAGAGTGGGACAAGGTGAGTACTGAATTAACATATTTCTGCAGTCATAAAAATTGTTATATCTTAGCCCAGCTATTTTAAACTGTTTGATCACATTCTAGGGTTATTATTATGCATAAAAAAACCTTACGCAACATTGATAGGAACACTGAGATAAAAAAAAAACAAAAATTCAACCATCAATGCATTTCAAAATTGTTACTTTTTTGTCAAATATAACATCAAATTGTTATATTAGTGCTACAGTATTACAACATCAGTATTGTACATTTTTTGTAACATTTGAATTTTTTATTTAGTGCAATATTTTGTCATTGCAACACTTTAGTGTAATTTTCACTAGCAACTGCAATTGGGTTTATATTGTAAACCTAAGTTCACTGTTATCCCACCGGCCACTATTGTGACCATCAACATGTTTACTCATTCTATGACCACACTCAACAAAACTGAATATATGTGAATTCATATATTAATACTAGACCCCTTAAAGATAATGTGTACCAAAAATATTTGTCATATCTTTGTTAACATACTTTACTAGCCCTTTGTTTTGGAGCTTTGATGCAGTTATAATCTTCTCAAGGTGCAAACAGGAAATAAACTGCTCTGGTCATGTGACAGTTTGCCCTAATCATGTGCAACTACACATATTTCATTGAGACCCTTTATTGTTTTCCATATTTGCAGGAAGTGCACTAAAACATCAGTCAGTAAGTTTTTTAGAGCTTTATAAATGAAAACTTTTTTCACGGTCACTGTTGTGACCGGTGGGATTAAACGGTTTTAATACTAGATATGGGCTTTCCTGAAGGAGTTTATCTGTAACAAGATCCAATACGCTTGGTTTTGATTTAAGGATTATTCTGTGGTGGAACGTCAGATAGAGAAAACAGATGACCGGATGCTGACCATTTGACATCCAATAATATCCCATGCGGATTAATACGATTTCTATCACACCCGCTTTCAAATGCAGTGCGTTGTTGGACCCGCAGGATGGCGCTCCCATCTTTTCGACGACACTTTTCTTACGACTGTCTCTTACGATTTACGGCAGCGGCTAGTGTCCACATGGTCGCTCGTGTTGTGAGCTTGACGGAATTGTAGAACAGATTGAAATTGATATTTAACTTCAAGTGTAGTCCAAACACATTAAAAACATGGGAAAGACTAAAAACAACAAATTCAAACGGCCATCGTTTTCTTCCGATGGTCTTCCAGCAACTCCTGTTAAACAGACTGGGGACGAATCAGAAGACGAAGACTCTCCGGCTGCGGAGCTGCTCGATAAAGTAAGCTTCCACTGCTGTGACAACTCTTCAGACTTGCTGTAGATTATGTTTATGAATCTGAATATTTGAAAATGCTGAGATAAAGGCTATATTAGCGCAACAGTTCAATATGGCGTGTGTAATGACTGTGTCAGCTCTTACTCTGATGGGATGTTGGCATGATGAATAAATGAAGCGAGTCTGATGCAGCTGTCAAGCAAGCGAGATTCGGATCTTCAACCTTGAACCATCCAGTCTTTCTTAAATTCCTAAGAGGAGTTCAAATAGGGGAGAGTGTGGTGAGCTGATCCAGTTTTTTCGATGAGTGTGTTTAAAGGGAGCATATGACAGTAATGGGTCCAACTTAAATATGTACATGCATTTCAGGATGTGATGCATCCTTGGGAATAATCACATTGGATCTAAAATAAACCGCTTTCCAAATTTTTTTTTTTAAAGAAGGTGGTCTCTTGGCTCAACTTGCCCACAGTGAGGGGTAAGTTTAGCCATATAGAGTTAAACCGTGCCATTGATTATGCTGAAGTAAAACCTTCACCTCATGCTATATCAAAAGTAATCATTTCAAAAAATGACTTCTTAAAATCTATGTGTGAGCCTTGTGATGGACTGGCCAAGCCATCCAGGGTTTTTCTCTGCCTGTGGCTCAAGACGCTGGGTTAGGTTCCAGCTCCCCACAACCCTAATAAGGACAAAAAGGTTTGGATGATAGAATGGATGGAAGGATGACTCCTGAAAGTTTTTATTTTAAAGATACAGTTCACAATTTTGAAGGCTTTTTGTTTTTAATTATTTAAACATTTCGGAACAAAATAAAGTTCAAATTGAAGGAGTAAAAAAAAAAAAAAAAAGATAAAAAAAAACCTGACTGCAGTTGACCTTACAGAACTGGGCTAATAGTACTCAACATCCCACTTATAAATGTTGCAGGGAAATACAGTTTCATACAACTTCAATGGCCAATTAAAAAAAACAAGGCCTATTTAACACTTTCAGAAAAAAATCTAGTTCAAAACAAAGAACAACATCTAAAACGTTTGGTTTAAAATTAATGAAATATCATGTAAAATTATACTTATTATCATAAGAAGGGGTGAGCCACTGGCTCAACTTACCCCAGGACTGTCTGCTCAAATTACCCCACTTCGACCATTTTAACAAACTTCTGTCATCCAGCAGTTTAGAGCTAACATTGTAGACTCATAACGTCTTAAAGCACACATACACGTGTGATGTTTTTTGAGATTTGTCTGTAATTGTTCAGAGTCAGACACAAGAAGCATCATGAGTCCTTGAACATACAAAAATCACTTTGAACAGTTTTTTTGAACCTAAATGTAGTTACAAATGTAGTTACATGGGCCCCTCTCCATCATAGAGTGAGTAAAATGGTTAACTCTTCAAATATGTGTGGTCATATCACCAATTTTGTTTAAGGTTGTCTAGAAATAAGGGGTGGCTCAACTTCCCCACGGGGTCAAATCACCCCGCTTTCCCCCCTGTATGTCTATTTGCAGGTGACTCTCCTTCTGTGTATGTGTGTGTTTAGCTGCAGAGTCCATCAGCTGATGTGCGCGAGTACGCGTGTGCCAGTATCTCTCGTGTTGTCCAGCAGAGTCAGACGATCCCAGGATTCCTCCAGAGAGATGCGGTCAGGAAAATCGGACCTTTACTGCTGGATCGCAGCCTGGCGGTCAGAGAGACTGCTGCTGGAGCACTCAGGTACACACACACACACTCTAAGGTGACACTGACATACTAAACCTGGGCTGTAGTACACATCCAGCCACCAAGAAAATGAAAGACACAGAAACTCGTCACACAGACTGCATTAATTGCATAGAAATTAGAATGTATAAATTATACAATTTGAATGTTATAATTTCCCTCTGCAGCAGTTTGTCTAATGAGCAACTTGGTGTATTACATGCTTGCTATCATTATTACACTATTCTCTGATACAAGACTCCTCAGCTTCGGGGTTTATTTTGTAAAAGTTACCCTTAATTTTCCTCTGTGTGTGTGCTACAGGAATCTTAGTGCCTGCGGAGGCCCTGAAGTATGTGAGGACATGGTGAGACAGGATGCGCTGACGCCTCTGTCTGCTCTCCTGAGGGAGGTATAATGCTGGATCAATTCAATTTAAAATGCTTTATTGGCATGGCAGTCTTTATCTTGAAACATAAAAACATAAATTCAACATATGACTAATAATAATCAATCCAGAATGTACAAATATACAATCCACTTTCCTGTAACGCAGCAAACCTGTAGCTTTAAAGTTTGTTTTTTATTTGAGAGCTCATGCTGTGATGTATCAATCTTTTATTGATCTCAATTAGTATAAAAATGTTTTTCCAGCATTTGTATGCGTATGAATGGAAGTCAATGGAATGAAAAGTAAAGTGTGACCACCCCTTAAAACATGATTTTTTTTATTGCATTGGTGAAGGATATTTTAGTCAGTCCACTTAATTCATTAACCATGTAGAGAATATTATATGTCATTCTTTTTTCTTTTATCCTTCGTTACTTTGCAGGGCTATACTTTTTCAATAATGAAATTAGCATGGCTATACTTCTTATTCACTTGCACAATAGTTTTAAAAACTAACATGAAAAAGATTGTGGATCTTGATCCTGCCTAAAGAAAAAAAAGTCATATGATATGATAATTTTGCCATATCGCCCACCCCTCGTGAGAAGAGGAAAAAAAAGAAGCTGTTTTTGACAAGTCTCTCTTATGTGTGTTTGTGGAGAGCAGTGCTGTACTGGCTTTGACATGAGCTCGTCTCCTACTATGAAAGGACAGAAACGCACGGTGGAAGACGTCGCCAATGAGGCTGTAAATTTACTTTGGAACCTCTGGTAAGATTGAGCTCAAACTGACTTCATCGTCCTTGAGAGACCAAATCACCAGTGAGCAGTCAAGACAGATTGACGTTTACATTTAACAAGTGTATTAACAAATGTTACAAATGCCTTTGAGTGTCATACGTGTTTCCTCTGACCACTTGACAGCACATCATCATGCTTTATGTACTAGTCACTAGTTTGCACGCTGAAGATTAGGCCAAATATGAGATTGGTTGTTTAATCAGTTATCACATTAAAAGCAAAGTCATTAAGTAAAACATTTAGTGATGGCATTTTTAAAAACTACCTGGCATATACTTACAATAAAAACAAGGCATGAAGAGTTGTGTTGTGTTGGGTTCAATAAGATGACATGGTTGCAGTCTTGTATAATCTATGTGTTTCTTTCTTTTGTGGATGTGTAGTGAGAGCAGTAGCACAGCTGTGTCAGTGTTTAACAAGGCTGGACTTCTAGATGTTCTTCTACATTGTTTACAGAGACACCCTCAGAATATGGAGCTGGCAATTTCAGCAGGTGACTCCAGTTATAGACACACATATATATACACTAACATTCAAAAGTTGGGGATCAGTAAGTGTTTTTTATATATATACACACACAGTATATACATATACATGTTTCAAAGAAATATTGTTCTTTTGAACTTTCTATTAATCAAAGAATCCTTAAAAAAATATTTCATGGTTTCCACAAAAAATCATATTAGAATGATTTCTGAAGGATCATATGACACTGAAGACTGGAGTAATGCTGAAAATTCAACTTTACCCTCACTGAAGTAAACTACATTTTACAGTCTTTCAAATAGAAACACTTATTTTCGATTTTTTATGATATTTTGCATCATTACCTTTTTTTTTTTTATACCTTTTTTGTATTTTGTATTTTTAATCCAATAAATGCAGCTTTGGTGAGTATAAGAGACTTTTCAAATACATTTCAAAAATCTTACTATCCCCGTGCTTTTAAACAGTAGTATATATATCTCAAATTCAAATTGCTGTTGTGTGTGTGTGTTTGTTTGTTATTTTTTATTTTTTATTTTTTTGTGTAGGCCACTGCATGCACACAGTAACAGAAGAGAACGAAGAGCTTGTGCGCAGTGTGAACGCAGCAGTGTTTGGGGTCTTGGAAAACATTCTGTCCACCACACACACGAGTATGGAATACACTCTCCTGCGAACGCTGGCTGCAGGTAAAAGAACACATGACACTGGATGTGTAATAAATACATTTACTACATCCACACTATGCAACATGCTACTATATATATATATATATATATACACACACACACACAGGGCCTAAAATTAACACTCGCCAAGCACCAAATGTGAGTAAAAATCAGCATCGGCGAGTCCATGTAACAGTGTCAGTCGCCAGTTGGCGACTTTTAACTTTTCCCTTCTTTATTCTTCATAACCCGAGAATGGGGCAACACATACCTGGGGTTACGCCGCCTAAACGGTGCAATGAAGTATAGTTTGAAAGGCTGCATGTTCGGCTGTACGCATACGCTGAGCCGCTTCAGACAGCTCACCAGTAGCGCTTCAACGCACGAAAACACACACAATTGTGTCAAAATATGCGGTTTTGGCGAGTTACCTTGTAAACGGAGTCTTAAATTAGTTATAAATGACCGTAAAGAGTTGGGAGAAAATCGGATGTGTCAGATCCGCGTCATATGCATCAGGTTTTAAAGTGAAACCTGCTGAAGACTGTCATTGATGTATATCAAAGAACAAAAGAAAAAGAGAAATCCTTGGACTGTTCTAGTCGCTGATTAACTTTTATAGCTTGAATAAAGATTATGTATAGTTTATGCATACATAATATACTTTGTGAAGATTGTTTTAAAATCACTTAAATTAAAAGTTGTATATTTCAGAGCCTATTAATTGTTAAAAATGTAAAGAGTTGGGAGAAAATCGGATGTGTCAGATCCGCGTCATATGCATCAGGTTTTAAAGTGAAACCTGCTGAAGACTGTCATTGATGTATATCAAAGAACAAAAGAAAAAGAGAAATCCTTGGACTGTTCTAGTCGCTGATTAACTTTTATAGCTTGAATAAAGATTAATATGTATAGTTTATACATATATAATATACTTTGTGAAGATTGTTTTAAAATCACTTAAATTAAAAGTTATATATTTCAGAGCCTATTAATTGTTAAAAATAATGGCTTTCAATTATACTGTAATGTTGAATGGCTATAATTAATAGGGAAAATTGAGGGAAAATGCACCAGCAGGACAAATTAAAAACATTATAAATATGTTTAGTTATTGTAGTAGTAATAACTGCCTGTTTTTGCAAAAAGAGTTTCATGACCAGTGAAAATGAATTTTTTTGCCATTGGCAGGTGTGGCAAAAAGTTAGTTTTAGGCCCTGTATGTGTGTGCGTGTATGTTCAATTAGCTAGCTATATATATATGTACAGTGGGTACGGAAAGTATTCAGACCCCCTTAAATGTTTCACTCTTTGTTATATTGCAGCCATTTGCTAAAATCATTTAAGTTAATTTTTTTTCCTCATGAATGTACACACAGCACCCCATATTGACAGAAAAAACACAGAATTGTTGACATTTTTGCAGATTTATTAAAAAAGAAAAACTGAAATATCACATGGTCCTAAGTATTCAGACCCTTTGCTCAGTATTTAGTAGAAGCACCCTTTTGATCTAATACAGCCATGAGTCTTTTTGGGAAAGATGCAACAAGTTTTTCACACCTGGACTTGGGGATCCTCTGCCATTCCTCCTTGCAGAGCCTCTCCAGTTCTGGCAGGTTGGATGGTAAACGTTGGTGGACAGCAATTTTTAGGTCTCTCCAGAGATGCTCAATTGGGTTTAAGTCAGAGCTCTGGCTGGGCCATTCAAGAACAGTCAAAGAGTTGTTGTGAAGCCACTCCTTCATTATTTTAGCTGTGTGCTTAGGGTCATTGTCTTGTTGGAAGGTAAACCTTCGGCCCAGTCTGAGGTCCTGAGCACTCTGGAGAAAGTTTTCGTCCAGGATATCCCTGTACTTGGCCGCATTCATCTTTCCCTCAATTCCAACCAGTCGTCCTGTCCCTGCAGCTGAAAAACACCCCCACAGCATGATGCTGCCACCACCATGCTTCACTGTTGGGACAGGTGATGAGCAGTGCCTGGTTTTCTCCACACATACCGCTTAGAATTAAGGCCAAAAAGTTATATCTTGGTCTCACCATCTTGGAGTCCTTCAGGTGTTTTTTAGCAAACTCCATGCAGGCTTTCATGTGTCTTGCACTGAGGAGAGGCTTCCGTCGGGCCACTCTGCCATAAAGCCCCGACTGGTGGAGGGCTGCAGTGATGATTGACTTTCTACAACTTCCTCCCATCTCCCGACTGCATCTCTGGAGCTCAGCCACAGTGATCTTTGGGTTCTTCTTTACCTCTCTCACCAAGGCTCTTCTCCCCCGATAGCTCAGTTTGGCCAGACGGCCAGCTCTAGGAAGGGTTCTGGTCATCCCAAACGTCTTCCATTTAAGGAATGGAGGCCACTGTGCTCTTGGGAACCTTAAGTGCAGCAGAAATTTTTTGTAACCTTGGCCAGATCTGTGCCTTGCCACAATTCTGTCTCTGAGCTCTTCAGGCAGTTCCTTTGACCTCATAATTCTCATTTGCTCTGACATGCACTGTGAGCAGTAAGGTCTTATATAGACAGGTGTGTGGCTTTCCTAATCAAGTCCAATCAGTATAATCAAACACAGCTAGACTCAAATGAAGGTGTAGAACCATCTCAAGGATGATCAGAAGAAATGGACAGCACCCGAGTTAAATATACGAGTGTCACAGCAAAGGGTCTGAATACTTAGGACCATGTGATATTTCAGTTTTTCTTTTTTAATAAATCTGCAAAAATGTCAACAATTCTGTGTTTTTCTGTCAATATGGGGTGCATATATATATATATATATATATATATATATATATATATATATATATATATATATATATATATATATATATATATATATATATATATATATAGCTAGCTAATTGAACCTTGTTGTAATGTATTGATAATGAATTGATATAGTGCTAATAATTAGCGTGTGAATTTATAATTAATTAATACAGTAATGTTGCTTTGTGAATGGGTGGTAGAGGTTTAATGAATAGTTGAAATAACGCTAAAGAATGTTTTGTGTGGTTATTAGTTGTTTGTCTATTTCAGGCTCCTTATGGAATCTGAAGAGCGGTCTGTCTTCAGCGCAGCAGTCTCAGACACTGACTGCGCTGGCCACCACTCTCTCACACAGCCTCAGTCTGGACGCAGGAGAACTCATCCCAGAGCTGTGGCGTGCTGAATCTGCCCGTCTGTCCAAAGAGACCACATCTGCCACAGAGTCAGATCATACAGATGCACGGCCCGCAGGTCATGAGGCCGAAGAAATGGAGGAGGACGTGAGAGATGAGAAGATGAATGGAAGAAAGCCTAATGAACGGATGTCAAAAACCAAAAATGACATCTCAGATCTGTTGCCTGTATGTTAAAAGCTATTGTTTTAAGTGGAAAAAAATAGGATAAAGTTTGCACATTTCAGAACATTTAAAATGTGTCCATATTTATGTTAAAAGCATAGTTCACCCAAAAATGAAAATTCTGTGATTTACTCACTCTCATGTCGTTCCAGAAGAAAGTCTGGTTTGGAGCAACATGAGGGTTGATTAAACATTGACAGTTTATTTTTGGGTGAATTATCTAAAAACATTAACTACAAAAAATTAGCCACTTATATTATTATGATAGGTTAGCGTGCCTATGGAGATCATAAATGCATTCTTAAAGACGATCTCCTCTATGTTCCTTGACATGAAGGCTATAGCATACCTCCTGCACTCTCTCTTTCCCCTTCACACCATGTCAACACAAATGATGGCACATCTGTCCCTCAGAGCCAGATGGTTCTCACTCTCTCTGAACACAGAGTGACTTTACCCACTTACACACCAGTGTGCAGGGCTGCTGTAACCACTCTGAGCTCCTGTCTAACCTACCCATAGGGTGTCCTGAACGTGGTCCTCTTTGAAAGGTCAGGGAGAGATTTGATCCAGAGCCTCATATTTGTGGCCCAGTTTACATCAAGAACCAAAGCAAACTATGTTTAAAATTTCCATGTTACTGTGAATGCTCTTAATGATTTCATTCTCTATTTCAGTTTTATCAAATCGGTTATCAGTATTCAGTCAAACTATCTTAAATCAGTTTAATAGCCATCTCTATATGTGTACAAATAACCCACTTCTGTGGTTTTGTTGTATGTGTCTGTGTTTTAAGAGAGACAGACTGGAGTTGCGAGAGGCCAAAGCACTGCTGTCAGCACAGCAGACATCGCTGGAAATCATTGTCAACATGTGCTGCTCCGATGGTGAGTGTATGTTTATATGTGAGCAGGGAAGACAAGAATATTATAGGCAATCCTCAGGATTTTCCTGCAAATGTGCGAAATTAGAGGAATGATTTCTATGTTTGCGTCAGAGAAGACAAGACCGATAATATGATGGCATATTTGACTGTCTGTGTGTGTGTGTTTGTCTGTAGAGCCCTCAGATGATGAGTGGGAGGAGATGTCCAGTAGCGATGAGAGCGAGGTGTGTGCTGATGGGATGTCAGACACTAATTCCAGCTTGTTCTCTCCTCTCTGTCTGTCTGCTGAACTTCACACAATCCTGCTCAACCACAGCATACCTCAACAGGTAACACACATTATTACATAGTCAGCAATGCTTACAATGCCTCAGTTTTTATTTTATTCTGATGTTACTGACCCTTCTGGTTCAGTGGGGAGATCGCAGTTCTCACATACTGTACTCCAGGCCACTTTGGGATATTTGTAAAACCATCTAAAATGGGAGTGTGATGGACATATTTTGGCAGTTAAATGAGGACACTGGTTAGGCCTTGTGAATGATTTGTCTTGTGTTTGCAGACACAGAGAGAGGGCATTGAAGTAGTCCATGACAAAAATGTGCTTGTTGGTAAAATAATCTTGAATTAGTAGATTACCGTTCAGAAATCTGGGGTCAAGCATTTTTTTCTGAAGAAAATCATACTTTCATTTAACAAGGACACAACAAATTTAACAAATGTGACAGTAAAAATGTTACTTGTTACATTATTGAAAAATATTAAAATACAATACAGTTATTATTTTACTTTTGTTGAAAACATGATTTTACCAAAGGGAAGCACGATATAATGAAGGCTTTAACATAAGTGGATTATTATGAAATGGCAATAAATAATAGTGGTGTCTGTTGAATAAGTAGGAAAAACAGCCAGTTTTAATACTTAGAGTGCAAGACAAGAAAAGAAACCTGTCATACAAAATGGAGCGGGGAGCGGAGTGGTAATATTTCCTTAAGAGAGCAGAGCGCCTTTCTGAAGATTCCGCTCCGCTCGCTCAATACGCTCAGCGCCACTCGCTCAACCCAGAATGCTTTTGGTGATTTGCTTGTTCGAGATCGAGAATCTGTAGAGATCGAGAATAGTAGAGCAGTTATGGAGTTCAGATATTGTTTCAACGAAGTTGCAAGCCTTATACATAAATGTAAAGTAAAAATCAAAGTTAAGAATGAGCAGGAAGAAGAAACTGAGAGGGAGTGCGGGGAGACTGTTAAAGTTAGTATAGATTCATATTGATTACAGAAAGCACGAAGATGTGCTACGCAAACATGGTGCAGCAAAAGGTGAGCTAGTTACATACCATAATAAATGAATAAACAGGTAGGCTAAGGTTATATTCGGTTGTACGGAGCCCCGATCATGACATGCAGACAAAATCACAGCCATGAATTTAGAATAGGCTAGTTCTCTTTTATGCTAGGACTACATTATGGCCACGAATTAAGAATTCATTTTTTAGTTTAGTCTAAATTATGGCCACGAATTAAGTATTCGTTCTCTTGTTTAGGCTTAGCTGCCACGAATTCATTCGTTCGTTAATTCGTTCATTCCCTATAGTAGGCCTAAATCGTGGAACGAATTATTATATTTCGTAATTACTTATTAAAATCATTATTGCTTAAAATTAATAAAAAAAATAATAAAACCTGCTGACGTCATAGAAACTAATTGTTAATTCGAATTATATTCGGAGCTCCGTAGTT